TTGGAGTGAGACGATTTAATGTTGCAACGTCATATTCAGCAGCATTATAGGCTAAAGGATTTTCAACTGTCGGATTGTCAATAGATAAATATTCGACCTCTGGTGAATCAATCATGTCTATAATTTCACAGTTAATAGAATCAACAACCCTATTTGTTGGGGCTAAAATTAATCTTTTCAATAATTCATTACTTGCTACAGCAAACCCTTGATCAAAAACAAAATCATATAATTCTTGTCGTGAATTGACTATCATATTTGGTGGAATATTAACTAAATCACCGATAGTTCCGGTACCTATACTATAAAGCCAATCCTTAAATTGAATTTCCGAAGGAATCACTCTCATATTTTGCACAAGTCTAAATTTTTGGAAAAGGGGATACAAATGGGAGGATTGAATGCAGGCAGCAACAGAAGCACCAGGGGAAGCAGAATCAGCAACTGGTAAAGATTGCTTCCAGTCTCCTGAAAGTATTACAACTTTTCCAGCAAAAGGAAGTTTTTTATTTTGAGGAACCATATTACGACACAATTGGTCAACGTTTTCAAACACAGTCTTATTTAACATGGTTATCTCATCAATAATAATGACATCACATTCTATAATTCTTCTCCCAAAAAAGCTGTCAAACTTTACTAAAGGAAGCTTGCCTGGTTCAACATCAATTCCGAATCGAAAAGCAGAGTGAAATGTCATACCACCTGCATAAAACTTCGTAGAAGCAATACCCGTTGAAGCGGTTGGTAAAACTTTTAAATTTAACTGCCTAAGTTGGTAAAGGAGATAATTTAATAAGAATGTTTTGCCTGTACCCCCATCTCCTGACAAATAAAAATATTTATTAACAGAATTAGGGTCAAAAACTGCATCACGAATCATATTAAAGAAAGTATTTTGTTCTGTATTTAAATTTGCCCTTTCTAAATTAGAGGTATCTAATGTTTCGTCGGGCTCATCACTGTTAACGTTGTTCGGAAAGAAAAAATCATCTAACGCCCTATCTGGGTCATTTAAGATTGAATTATTAGGCAAAGGAAGACCAAAATCATCCATAGAACGCCCATTGCTTAACAAATATCTCTCAATGATAGCCAATGCTCTATCAATACGTAAAAGTCTTTCATTTTCTGAACAACGTCTCCTATCATACATCTGATCCTTAAACATTTCCCACAAAACATAACCATCAATAACACACCGTTCTGTTCCTCCAAATACAAGAATATTTGCGAACAATTGCCTCATCTGTGAGGGATTTAACGAAAAGGAGGCCTCTCTTAACGTACGTTCCCAAACCCCATTATCTTCAAAAAGTCCCCTTAAGCGTGCAGCATCCGCAAAAGTTGTACATACATGACCATTAAATGTTTTTAGTTCTTCTGGATCTCCGGGAAAATGCTTAGTTAGTATATACAAAGCAAAAAGTTCAGGTTCACGTGGTGAGACTGGATAAATTCTCCCGATAATTGGTTTAGTTATTTTCCTAATTTCAGCCATTCTCCTTTTATGCCACACTTTTTCTTTGCTATCAAATGAATATGTTTCAGGTAAAACTTCAAAGAGTATGTTTTTAATAAGGGGATTATTTATATTCTTTCGCCATAAGTTCCAGTAAGCAGTAAGATGTGTATCTGGAAGAATGCCTTCTTCAACGTTAGCAAGAACAGCAGGAGCAGTTTTAGAATTAAAAACTAATTTTTGGTTTCCCGGCAAATGAATTTTCAAACCTATAACAGTGTGTGAAAGAAAGGCATACTTATATCCCATTACTCGCGAAAAAGCCTCGGTTGGACTACGATAAATCATTTTTGCGTATTGTGCAGGTTCATCAACATTGATTAGACCATCTACAGCACTACGGACATAGGAAAAACTGTTACCTTTAAACGGATATTTTAAGGCATATTTTAAATTGTCAGATTGTCCATACGCAAATTCGAGATTATGGTGACAATGAAACATGACAAGAATAAATGGGTTATAAGCTACTACACGCGAATTATCATATACAACTGAAATCCTACCACGTTTAATTTTTAAAGTTTCACCGCCGTCTGCAGGACTCGGACGCTTATATTCGGCTGGTTTGTTGGCATGTAAAATGGTAAATTTACTGAAAGGTTTTGGAAAGCCTTTCTTACAGTTACCCCTATTATTACGACAATGTGATCCACAATCATGAAACTGATGCTTAGGTAACAGTTCACGCACCTTGCGTAAAAAATTAGCCCAAACAGACTTATCATTTGCAGGTGGTTCTGGAGGAATATGTGCCCAAATTAAATTTTCAACATTTTCAGGCGTAGCAGGAATATCAGTACAATATACTCTATGCAAATGTGGACCGCCTACTCTTTTCTGAAACTCACGACTTTCACCAAAGCCTAAAATGTTACCAAGAATATGCTTCTTTTCTAATAGATAATGGAGTTTTCTAAGTTTATCTTCGTAAATACGACAAATAATATCAAATCTATCAACAACTTTTTGATTATCCCGTAATAAATTTCTTTGAATTTCAGGCCACCTGGGATTGCATGTAAAAGTAAACATAAATGAACAAAACCCAGGTTTACGAGTCCGGGCCATTATTGCAGTTGCATTATAAAACATCTCCTGAAAATATGGGCGGGTCCCAGGGTGATATTTCCTAAACGCAACAATGTGACCAAGATCGGAAACAGACTTAGCACCACAATCTCTTTGTAACCATCTAAGAGCATCTGGAGGATATGTAGCTCGTAAATCCATATCGGCTCTCCTTAAATAATTAGCAACAGAGGAATCTATTCTAGCATTATAATCTAACACAAATTTTTGACTTAAACCGCCACCTGAGTTCCAAATATTATGGTAATCTTCATTTCTACGCAAAGCAAGGCGATATTTAATGTAAGCTCTAACAGAAATATTTTTTTTATCAGAATTTTCAACATCATCATCAGACGAGTCATCGTTTATGGCATTTAAAGTATTTTTATTCAAAGATATTTTTGCATGATAACCATCATCCCCACAAGGAAAAAGAATGGGATAACATAATGTGTCTGTTAAAGGATGATTAGGAGTAAAAGTAAACAAATGACCTTCAAGATCTGTTATATAGATGCCTTTAACTTGTGGTAATTCGTCGGCTTCAGTACAAATCGAAAATAAAGTCTCTTCTGTAGGAAGATTAACTTGCCTAGGATGATCAGAAGGATCTCGAACAATAACAGGCGCATCCCTTTCTTCTAATAATACAAGCCTATAATACTTAACAGAATCAAGACCATCAGAGTGTAATTTATCCAGATATTGAGTATGGAAATTTTTATAAATAGTTGCCAAAGGATGGGTTTGACGCAAAAGCGTATCTAAATTTCTAAGAGTTTCTTGGTCTACTCTATCGCCACCATAAGAAACATTATTAACTCTATTTTCAAAGGCTGTATTTGCATCCAAAATATATAATTGTGAAAAAGAAGGGCCATTATTACCAGGCGTGATCGAGCTAAGTTTACGAACAAACTCTCCGTTAAGTAGAAAACAAATTCCTCCATCAAGATTTGATTCTCTGTGACCGACATAAACAGACGCGAACGCTAACAAAGAGTTGTATATATTCTGGTGTTGCAAAAACTCTAAAGAAGCTTGAGAATCACCAATACTTAAATCTTTTAAAATTTGAGGATGTGGACTATAAGGCGGAAGAGTAACTAAACCACACTTACAACAAAAAGACGAAGTAATTTTTTTATGTTTCTGGCGAAAAGCCTCGTTAACTTCAGTGTTCAACAATAAAGCCCCACAAAAACAACAAACTTTATCACCAAAATTACCGGAATCGTAATAAGGCTCATAATGCATAGACCTAACATCTGCACACGGATAAAGCTTGTGAGACCTCCCACAATGAGAAGAAATCTTAAAAAACACATCCTCATTACTTTCAGGTTCAGAAATTTCAGAAACATAATTAGTTTTTCTGGCAGCAATTCTTTCAGACCGCCTTAACGGTGGGTCTGGCTCTAAATCTAAAACGGGATAATTATTAATAACACAATTATCTTGTATCTCTTTACCAAAATCTAAATTAAAATTAAAAACATTTTCTTGCACTGGAGCATTTCTGGGATTATAATCGAAAACCCCAACATAATCAATATCATTTGAAAGAATTAATTGCGAAAGGTGCCATAAAATACGCTTCCTTTCATATTGAATATTTAAATTAGGAATTATTAAAGATTTATTATTAAACAAAAACAATTCCGAATAAAGACAAACATAAAACCCGCAATTAATCCCATCTCTTTGTTCAGTAAACTGTGAACGGGGCAAAACTCGAATATTTATATTGTCAATAAAAAGATCAGGTGTCAAATCACAAATACACCTTTTAATCAAATCAACACGCCTCTGATCAAAAACTCCACACGAAACATCGGTTAAACGGTTTACAGACGGTAAAGAGTCAACAAAAATGCAAGAAAAATTAGCACGATCAGAACGATCACAAATAACCAATCCAAAATGACCAGGAAACATAATTGGAATTAACAATATATCATAATCCTGGTTATAATTAAAACAATAATCAAAAATATTAAGAGGCTCAACACCCTGTCCAAAATGGTGATCAACAACATTAAATTGGGGTGAAACAACAACAACATTTAAATTGGAACGATATGATAAAAATTTTAAATAAATAAAAACAAAACTATCTTGCAACCACACATTAGGATCCGACCACAAACTAATAATTTCGGGTCTTGAAAAAACAATATCATCCGTAAAGATTCTATTTTCAATATTAGGCATAGGACCAAAAGGGATATCTAACAAATCAATAGACAAAAATACAGGACCCACGGGAATATCTAAAGCCTGAAGACTACTATTATTATTAACTTCACTGACAAAACTTTTATTATTAACAGTACTTTTCTTAGGTCTTCCAGAACGTTTTGGCTTTTTCGGTCTACCTCCTTTTGATTTTTCGTAAGATAAATCACTACATAATGAAACACTCTGGGAAACAACAGATAAACTATCAAAATCTCCAACTAAACTCAAATTACAATTATCAACTACAGATAAACCATGACTAAATGACCCCACTTCTAACAAATCATTATTCAAAGAACTTTCCCCTACACAATTTTCACCACTAAAACCATCAACCAAAGAACTTTCAACGAAAGAACCATCAACCAAAGAACCCTCAATTAAAACACTTTCAGAATGAAATCCAATACCATCAACTACGGAACCTCTATCTAAAGTACCATCACCAGAAGTAACCCCGGTTGGATTAACATTCAACAATCTACCATCATCGGAAACCCCTTCAACCCCGCAACTATTAGTTGCATTACTACCAAACTGACCTTCAACCGAATGACGCTGTCGGCGTTTCCTCCGGTTAATAAAATCTTTTGAAGGCATTTTTAATAAAATAAATAATAAAATTATCTAAAATATCTAAAAAAGAATATTAGTAGAACACAAAACAATTTTTTACGATTTTTGGGGAAGATATATGTCAAAGATCAGAACGAAAATATAATAGCGAGTTCGAAAGGGCTAGACGAGCTGAGTCGAACGACACCAAAATCAGCTCGATTAGACGATTATGAACAAAGTTATGACCAACAGAATCTTCGCTGGAAAAACTGTTTTTGTGCTGCTACGGAGGATAGGCCGGGCATGGTCTTCGCTACACGATGGCCGTGCTTCGCTGCGGTCGTGCTCGCTTCGCTCGCGGCGACCGTAGCGAAGCGGCGGCCGCAGCGGCAAAAACTTTTTTCCGCGTTTTTTCAACGCTTCACTAATAATCAACAGGTTTGTTTGTTCATCCTCCATCGGTCAGGAAGTCGTTCCCTACTAATAAGGGAATGCCAACTGATTAGGTGTACTTTTAATAGAGAAAGGACAATGCCGGATTTTTCGTGAAATTCATTATGAACCTTGTTAATTAAGAGGAATCTAATCAAGGGGCATTTCCTGATTAGGTTTCATCCTGTAAAACAGTCATACCGATAAAAAAAACCGTCATGACCCGTCTATCCTGAATGAAACCTAATCAGAAAATGCCCCATGATTAGGTTCCTCTTAATTAAGTAAGGTTCATACCGAATTTCACGAAAAAATCCGGCATGACCCCTACTCTATTAAGAGTACACCTAATCAGGGAACATTCCCTGATTAGTTGGGAGCGACTCCCTAAACCGAGGGAGGGGGAAGAAACTAACCTTTGATTTTTGATGAAGCGTTGAGTTGATTTGATCCATCAATTTGCAGCCAATACAGCCAACCAATTAGAAAGAAAATTAAAAAAAGAAAAAAATTAAGCAAAATTGTACTTATTTACTTCCCACCCCCAAACAATTTTTTCAGTAAATATGTAAAATGGTCAGTCTTTAATGTTTGTAGAACTCGTCACAAAATGTTTAATTACAGCAAAATCAAAAAAATTTTAAGTTATTTGACCGAAATTCAGAACCCCAAAAACTAAGAAACCATAGAGACAAAAACAAAAAAACGAAAAGTTAGTGCAAATGATACCACATTCGAAAGAGCTGGTCGAGCTGAGTCGAATGATAACAATATCGACAAGATTGGACAAGATTTGACAAAGTTATGACATAAAACAAACATACGAAAAGTCAGCGATTTAAGGCATACTTTTGTCAAATCTTGTCCTACCTTGTCAATATTGTTATCATTCGACTCAGCTCGACGAGCTCTTTCGAATGAGGTATCATTTGCATAAACATTTTGACTTCCAAAAAACCACCACCGTGGAGTCTAAGTTTTCCGGGGTCTGTATCTCGGTCAAACCGAGTCGGATTTTTTTGATTTTGGTGTCATTCAATGCAGCTCGATGAGTTCTACAACCTAAACAGACTAAAAACTTTACATATTTACCGAAAAAAGTGACTGAGGGAAAAATAAATAAGTACCACGAAAATTGCCCTGATACACCCCAAACTCGAATTTTCGAAATTTCATAAAACCCGAAATTTTCCAAAGCAGTTGGAAAAACTTATCATAAGTATAATCATCGGGTCCTAAATTATACTTTATAAACAACGAAACCCGACTAAAACCTCAAAAACCCCCAAAAAATCCTAAAAAACTGGAAAAATCTCAAAAAAATGCAAAAAGCGAGTTTTTGCAATTTTCGAGAGTTTTTTCGAGTTTTTTCAGGAAAAAACGGCCTGAGGTGTAATCAGGACGCGTAAATAATAAAAAAATTTAAAAAAATTATTAAGGAACCCAGAAATTTTCAAAAAAACCCCAAAAAACCCCAAAAAACTAAAAATTTAAAAATTTAAAAAAATGAGAGAAAAGGCAAAAAATGCCTATGGACAAAATGGTCAGGCGGTCAAAATGCCCATGGTTTATTCTAAAGCTGGGCGAAACCCAATTAAAGTAAAAAGGCGGGGTAATAGGTTATCGGCCACGGGGAATTTAATGGGCATGGCCATTTTGGTGCCACACTCAAGTGTGGCACCGAAATGGCCGGTTGAAAAATTCAAAGTGTTATAGCGGGTTTTTGAGAAGTGGGGGGTTCTTGGGCCTGGGAACAATGTTGGAGGGTAGAGCGTGGGGAAGCTATACATAGTTGACCTCTTGAGTCTCAGATCAATTTTTGGGGGTGATATGGTCCAAAGAGTCGGGGACGAAATGTCGACTTTTTTTAAAAGGTCGTTTCAGCTTTTTTCGATAGCCTATTCGAAAGAGCGTCCCTTGGGGCCCCGAAAAAGGTATACTTTGTTGGGGGTCCACTTGAGTCTCAGAAAGTTATAGGCCAAAAAGTGACATTTTGGGGGTCAAAAATTGAACTTTTTTGGGCTATAACTTTTTTTAAAAAATTTTTAAAAATAAACGGACTTCGAATTCGGTTTCAGCACCTATTGGAGCACCATAAAACATCTTTTTCTCGAGGTCGAATTTTTGACCCATTTTTGGACAAAAATTTTGCCGAAAAAATCGACCAAATTTTAAAAAATCATAACTTTCTTAAAACTAAACATTTTTGAATATTTTAAAATTTTATTCTATGCAGAAAAATCTGCTCTATCCAGGAAAAATACCTATGCCCCGAACTGCCGGCAAAAAACCGAAAATTTTTTCGAAAAACCGAAAAATTTTGGGTTTTTTGAAATTCGACCCCTATGGGTTATATTTCGACTTTTTTCGAAATTTTCTTCTGTGATAAAATACCTAATTTTTTACTTCATTTTATGAAGCAAACCCCATTCGATTCCCTTTATCCCTTAAAAAGATAATTCGATTTAAAAAATCCCGAAATTCGGGCAAAAGGGGTACCCCTTTGGAAATAGGGGGTGGGACAAAATTTTCGAATTTTGACCCAAAATTCGACCTATATGGTGCTCTGACACCCGCTGAGTACGAATCCGTCCTCGAAAAAATTTTAAAAAATTTCCCCGGGTCGTTAGAGTCTCAAAAAGATTTGCGACATTTGCGAACATTGGCTATATCTTTTTGAGACTCAAATGTACCCCCAACATATTATACCTTTTTCTAACCGCCAGGGGAAAATTTTTTATAAAAAATTAATTTTTTTATTTAATTTATTTCATATTAAAAATTATTGCCCAATTATTGTCAAAAATTCAATTTGTATTTTCATCTTTATATTATAAAAAATAAATAAAATATTACAAAATTATAAATTAAAAATATATATTTATTTTTACATCATTTATGCACTTTTATTTATTTATTTTATTGCTATTCACGTGAATTTAATTAATAATTAAGCAACTAAAGTGCAAAATAAAATTTATTTTGAAATAAATAAAAAGTCAATATAAAGGTAAATTAAAAGGGAATGGATAGCAATGCTTTATTTATTAAATATTAAAAAATCAGACTAGACATTTAAAATTATTATTTAATAAATTAATTTTATTTAAAGTTAATTAGTGATAATTTTCAAAAAATTATTAAAAAAATTTTTTAAATTAAAGAATAATTATTTAAATAAATAATTAATTATTTTTTAAATTTTATTAAATAAAATGTCAACAAATTTGTTATTTTATTTATTAATATTTATATTTTTCAAACCAACAATAAATGTAAAATTAAATGATTTAAAATTACCTAATCCAACAAACTCTTCATTTGGTATATTTTTAAATTTAATTTTTAAATATATTTTTAATTAAGCTGGAATAAACGAAAATAATTTAAAAGAAAAATATTTCCAAGCATTTTTATTTGAAAATAATAAAAATAAAATTAGAGAAATATCAACATTTTTATTAAATAAAAATATTTTGGAAAAAATATTTAAAATTTTAAAAACAAAAAATCAAATAAAAAATAAAAATATTTTGGAAGAAGAAAAAAAAAATTTGGAAATAATTAATTTAGAAATGGAAAAATATAAAAAATTTTTAGAAAAAAATGAAAATGAAATAAAAATTAATTTTGAAATATTTTTGGATTTAATTGAGTTTGAAAGTGTTTTTGAAGTTTTTGAGACAGAAATTAATTTTATATTTAAATTAAAAATTGTTAAAGAAAAATTTTTAAAATTTAGGAAGAATTTAAATAAAATGGAGGAAAATGAGGAAATTAAAAATAAATTAATTGAAAAAGAATTTCAATTTATTTTGGAAGAATTACATTTTAAAAAGTTTTTTTAATGTTTAAAATTAAAAAAATATTTATTTTTTTAGATTAGAAAAATTTCTTCCTGATATTTTTAAAAGGGCAATAAATTTAAATAAAAATAAAAATAATGGAGAATTAAATATAAAAGAAATTTTGGAATTAAAAAATAAAATTAGAAGTGTTATTGGAAATTTATTTTATGAAAATTTTGAATTAAATGATCCTTTATTATTTAGAATTGGTATTTTAAAATAATTTAAAAATTATTTTTAAATTTTATTTTTAATAGATTTGGTAGAAAATAAAGAAAAGACTAAACGTTTTATTAAATTATTTTCATATCCGGTAGCGATGAATGAAGTCCAAAGAACTTTGAGAACTTTTTTGTTTAGCCATTTATTTGGAAATATTTTTATAAAAATATTAAAAGGAGATGAGAAAAAAATAAAAAAAATTTGGGATAATAATTTTAAACCCTTTATTCCGATTTTATATTCTGATGATAGAAAAGGAATGGAAGTAGCTTTAGATAAATTTGTAAAACAAAAAATTGAAGGAATAAATTTATTAGAATTAAAAGAAGAAATTTCAGAAGAAATTAAAAATGAATTAATTGAATTATGGGAAAATAAAAATGATAATGATGATGGAGGGTATAAGGAATTAAAACAATTATTTGTAAAACATACTGGTTCTAGATATAATGTTTTAATTTTATTTCCATTTAAACGTGAAGGTAGTGTTGTAGTATATGGAGAGGAGAAAAGAATGAGTCCACTTTTATATATTGGTTA